CTTTTTATATCACAGAAGTTATCCAATTATTTTCGTCGATCATCAGGTGAAGCGATACTTTTTTCAAGGGACTGTATATATATAATCAATATTTACTTTTTGTCATTATTTTTATTTCTTTATAAAAATTGTTAGAAAAGAAATTATCATTTTTATATACACTAATCAATGTTTGTTGTAAATAATTATTTACTATGTATGTATTATTAATTTTTCTTGAATTTCAATTACATACATACATTGAATAAACGACACTGGAATTATGCAACAAAAAAAACAGGTAAAATACCAATAATAACAATAATCACTATATATTATTATGGTGATATTTTGTGTTGTTGTAATGAAAGGCTTTAGAAAAAAAACTTTTAAGAAATAAACAAAGTTAAATAAATGTTGTAAAAAAAATATACTAATTTCAATTCCAGAAATACTCTGGAAATATTCGTAACGGCAATAAATTACATGAAAACTATTCTATTATTAGCATTTAACTAATAGACAATTGAAACTGTTATTGTTTTTTTGTTATATATTAATACTAATGCTAAAAATACTAGAAACACATTTTACGAATTATCTTTGACAATTTTTGATTAGTTGACAATTGAATTGGTTATTGTTTATTACTAAAAAAACATTTTACAAATTATCATTTGGGGTGTGGACAATAGAAACGGACCATGTTGTGAAAAAAGCAATTTTGAGTTAGTATCACTATTATATGTAATTCCTCATGTAGAACATTTTTGGCTTAGAAACCATACCCACTTTGCTTAATAAAACTTCGAGATACCCTCCATTAAAGTTTTAAAAACAATAGTAAATTACTTGAAATGCAGATCTTTTTTTTTAAATTTTCTCAAAACATCATTTTCACAACATGGTCCGTTTCTATTGTCCAGACCCCATTTGTCTTGTTTCTTTTGTGGTGCGAAGCATCTTTAAGTTTTTTCGTGACAACTATAAGGAAGTTAATCACGAATTATCCTGTTTCCTTTTCAAAAAAAACCTTGTTCGGTTTTTTTTAACAACGACCAATTCCTGTTTTTATAATTCACGTAACGTCATAAATAAAAATTTTCTTCATCAAATAAATAACAACACGGTTGACTAATTTTGATGCTCGGAAGAATATATATATAAGTGATTGAGTCGTGTGATTTTATAATAATTGTGACATCAAAGATTTAATTGCTATGATGGCATGATTTCATGGTTTGAATGTCCTATTATATGATTAAAATTTAATAAAATAGACTATTGTCTTGACCCAAGTGATGTGATTTTTTTGCTCTTTACGATGAAGAAGACGCAATCCAATCCCAACTTAACTTTAATGTTAACGTGATGTTAAATCTTTGATCTCGCGTAGCACGGCAAAAGCTCACGTTGCCTTTTTACACTAATATGAGACAGCGGCATGGAAAATTTCCCATTTATTTATGTTAAGCAAGGAAATATCAACCACAACACATAATATCAACAATCATAGTGCCTTTTAGTCTTTTACACTAATTAAAGATGTTCCCCAAAAGCCTGGTACTTTGATTATTTTGTTTCTTGATCATCTTGTGTGATGTTAATATATACATAAAAACAGAAGATTTGGTGATCACATATTATTAATCGTAATTTTACCTCAGAGACGCATATATAAGTGATTTAATCGTAAAATTCAATATATTTATTAATTTGCAAAAGCTTTTAATGTGCCAGTTAGACTAAGAAACATATTCACATCTGTTCATACAAAATAAATTTCTGCATATTATTAATATTTTATAATTATTCCCAGAATAAGATAAATACATAAATTTAATTATTTCACTCTTTTTTACGCCATTTACGAGCATGATTATCTTCGTAGTGTTTCATGAAAGTGTAATCATTTGAGAAAGTTGCACCGCATTTAGGACAGTTAATTGTTTCATCACTTTCTGATGATGATGATTCCGAGGATTTCTAATCATGAAATACATGAACTTATAACAAAAATAACAAAAATTAATAAATTATAACATAGAAAGTAATAAAGCTTACCTGTGAAATTGCATCATCAATTTTCTCTACTTCAAGTGTGAATCCTGGCAAAACATTGCCACCATTTACATTATTCCAGCCATGTGAAGTTCGATAAACAACCCTATTAGCCCTCCGTCTGTAAATATATATCTGCTTATTTTGTGGGTCCACTAACCAACCAAGCTCAACTGACGAGCCCGTTGCAAAGTAAACTTCCCTGAATTTTTGATCTAAATCATTGAATTCTTGGTATCCTTCTTGAGTAACTGCGACCTCTACAACGCAGGTAGGCGTAAATGGCTGACCCATGAAGGTCCATTGTTGTTGATGATTAAGTGAACGGTAAATATTCTTTGGGATAAATGCAACATCAGGTGTACGAATTGCCCGTTGACCAGAAATTTTGAAATCAAATCCACCCTGAGATGTAGTGATAATTCCATTTTGACGAGTCTGCACATTCCAATTGCTAAGTTGTCTAGAAATTTCACAAACTACAGCTTCCTTACTTATCGGATTTTGGGGCATTGGAAGGATTTTTCCTTTATTGAACTCAAATAGATCCACAGGGGTCTCGTTGATCTCCAAGGTATGTGTCTTTAATTGTTCATTAATGAATTCGAATTCTTCAAACGTGTAGGTACGGTTTAAGTCTAAGTGGTCAAGATCTATTTTGTGGCCGTTGGCTTTAAGCATGTTAATTTTAAAAGATTTTATATTACACAAGCACAATGATTGGCCATAATATACGTACCATCAAGTATTCCAAGGCCTTTCAGAATCCAGATAATACCCTCGAATTCGAGATAACCGAGGTAAGCGATTAAGGCAATCAATAAATAAACGCAGGCAATAAAAAAGAACTAAAAGAAGTTTAAGTTATTTGCGTAATCTGAGAAAGTAATTCAACCTAACAGATATTGCATACCACAACTCCAGCAGTAATAATTACAAAAAAGATTATTGGAAGACCGATAAAGGTGGCTATTATAATGAAACAATAAATGTAAGGCATTAAGATCGAACTTTAGTAGTGGCAGCATTTTTTAGATATTATATATATATAAAAATAACCGGATCAATCATGTAAAATTACACAATGATCATTGATATGTTGATTAATGTATTTATTAGCATAGATGTAATAAAATTGATTAACTAGTTTATGTTAAAAAAAATCAAAAAAAAATTAATAATTAAATGATAATTTAGCAAAAAAAGAATAATATTTGTGTCTGTTTGTTTCTTTAGTGCATAAACTGTAATAATTAAAGAATTAAACACATTTATTTATTAAAAAATTATAATATAGTATATCTAACGGATACACTGTGAACCAACATACCGACACACAAGGATGTGTTTTGCATGTTCTACATAGGTCACCATATTCTAAAGATGACAATTAGGTTATTATTAATATTTGTTATTATTTATTTGTTACCATCATCATTATTATTATTACTACTAATTAGATTTTCGAGGAACACTTTTAACACACTATGGGTTTCTTCATAAATTAGTCCAGAGATACATTTCACACCTCCCTATATGCAAGTCTCCTGACATCCGGCTTAGTAATTCCTTGATATTGCCTTGAAGTGTCTTATGATGATGCTTCGTTCCTCCTCTTCCGACACCAATTTATATTATTAAAATTGTTCTGTTGTAAAAAACAAATAATTGACAAAAAATAAAGATTAATAAATTTAATAAATAGAAGAGTTTGTTAAATGCTTACATTATCATTTACAGTATCATTACTAAATAAATAATTATTGTTATTGGTATTGGTATTATCAGTATTATCAATTTCACCATAAATATCACTACGAGATAAATCATTTACATTGTTATTGTTATTGTTACTATCAATATTATCAATTCCATCATAAATGTCACTATTTCTCTTTTTCCGCATTATAGCATCTATTAAAAATATCATATATGTTTTTTAAAGAATGTTCTAGTGAATATATTGCCTCTTTTTCTGTTCCTGCAATTTCATACATCTTTTCAGGCGTCAAATTGTGAATTGTTCCAAATTCCACCTTGTCATATCTTTTTCTACGGTTATTTCACTCCCAAAAAAAAAATAATCGTAAGCCCTTTTCCTCAGTCCAATTCCAAATAACTTACCATTTAATGTTATTTTGTTTTTAATTGATGATGCAACATCCAAAATGGTTGCAGTTGAATTATTATTCCAGTAGGGCATTTGACCAGATGGATGCAAGGTTAGGGGTAGAAGTAACTGGTTCTAAAAATATCATAGTAATTGCAGACCTTTCCCCGCTAAACAAGCCCTGATTTTTAAGAGCGTTAGCCATAGAGAAAAAGAATTGAGCTTATTTCCACTCTTGGATTATATACATATGACATATTTTCACCTTTATCATAAACCAAGTAAATTGAGCTTCTTTTAAGATCAAGACGGATTTGAAGTTTTCTAGAAGGCAATTCAATATTTTCTTTAAGAACATGTTTACTGTTAATGTCATAAACCAAGGAATTCAAAATTAATTCTATCAAGAGAAAGTTGATACAAATATGAAAAATTTGACTAGGGAATTTTGATGTAGAAAGAATATGTACGTGTTTTGCGTTTTATTTATTTGCATTTGTGCGTGTAACATTGAGTAGCCCTAGCTAAATACTAACACATCTGAAAAAAAGAAATAGAAATCTGTCATGTCGAAAAAACAAATCCTCCCTTCAGTTCTTAAAAAACGTGTAATAATCCATATTGATATGGATTGCTTTTACTGTCAAGTTGGTAAGTAAAAAAGAATTTTTTTATATTAATGATTTCATTAGTATTTAATGTTTTGTAAAATTTCATGATACATGTGAAAAGAGCAAGTAAGATTAGGCATTCCCTCAACTTTACCAGTAGCTGTGCGACAATGGAATGCTTTAATTGCAGGTTCATTGTTATTATTACTATTTATTATTAAGAGTTATGATTTATATATATATGTACATAATTCGAAATTCAATCACTAATATAATATTATAATTAGTTAACTATGCTGCGCGTGAAGCAGGCATAAAAAAGGTATCCAATATTCAAGATGCACTTAAAATATGTCCTGGTAAAAATTTATTAAATAATAATTAATTATCTTTTTTAATTAATCGTGCCTATAATATGCGTGATTTATTAACCCCCCTCCTTATAGGATTGAAACTTGTTCATGTTGCAACATATGCAAATGGTGATCCAGAGCCTAAATATTATCCAAATCCAAGTTACGGTACTCATAAAGCTTCATTAGATGTTTATAGGAATGCAAGTTTAAGAATTTTTAAAATTTTTATGAGATATTGTAATATGGTACAACGTGCAAGTGTTGATGAGGCTTATCTGGATGTAACAAATATTGTTAATCAAAGAATCGTGGAAAGATATCCAAATCTTTTATTACCAGAAAATTTAGAAGATGGGGAACAAGTTCCACCTATTTTAGATTGGAATGGATTAGGAGTGTTGTATAGAAGCCAAATAAATAATGATATTGAAAATAATAATAACAATCCAATTGAATATTTGGATGAAATCTATAGTAATGGAAATAATGAAAATATTAATAATGATAACATTAATAATAGTAATAATAGTAATAATAATGAACAAAAGTCTGGTTTAGATCAATTTTCATATAATGATGAATCAAAAGGTTGGGATGATATGCAACTTTATATTGCAGCAGAAATATCAAAAGAAGTTAGAGAAACTATTTTCAACGAATTGGGATACACATCTTCTGCAGGAATCGCGCATAATATGACGTTAGCAAAGTTATGTTCAGCATTAAATAAACCAAATATGCAGGTAATGATTTATATGATATTGTAATGAATAAACGGCTATATAATATATTTTATGCTTTCTCTTTAAATCATTATTTCATCTTATTTATATATTACATTTTTAAAAGACTGTTATACGATCTAGCCAAACATTGGGTTTTATGCGAAATTTGCCATTTCAAAAAATTCGTAAGCTTGGTGGTAAATTAGGAGCTGAAGTTGGTAATATTTTGGGGATAGAAACTGCAGGAGAATTATGGTTTGTGATTTAATACTAATGTAGTTTTTCTTAATATATAAAAAGTTAATATCTATTACTATTTAATTGATTGATTATAGGGGTTATTCAGTAAGCGAATTACAAGCAAAATTTGGGATGGCATATGGTATTTGGCTTTACAATATATGTAGAGGTGTTGACAGTGAAGAAGGTTACTATTATTCTTTAATTTCTTTTTATAACTAATAAATCTATTTAAATTTATTTTTAAGAAAGTTTATTTGTATTTATATTATTAGTTGTTCAAAGAAATATCTCAAAATCAATGATGGCAGCCAAATCATTTAAACCACCATTAAAAAGTTTATCCCAAGTTGTACACTGGTGTAATATTTTAAGCTCTGAATTATATAAAAGACTTTTAGATGATTATGAAATAAATAATAGATGGCCAAAGACTCTTACAGTAAAGTTAATTTCTTATTTCGTTAGTTGATTATTAATTATTGAACTTGATATTTTAATATTTTGTTTTCTGTTTTTTAGATACAATATAAGTGTATTAATGATTCAACATCGCATTCTAAATCTTGTACATTTCCTATTCGGTCAGAAGTTGATTCACCTGATTTAATTTCAAAAAGGTTATATGGTCTTCTTGGAAATTCAGATAATTTGTTTCCATGTTCAAGATTATCAGCTTCAGCTATAGGTCTAATTAAAGATCAACTTACTGGAACAATGGATATTACTAAATTTATAACAAAAAATTTGCCAAATAATAAAGATTCTTTTGGAAACAATAGCCATAATAATAATAATATTGTAACTGATATTGACGATGAAATGAAATTAGAATCCTCACACACTCAAGGATCATCAATTAACCAAGAACCGCTAATTAATCAACAATTTTTAATCAATCAAGAATCACTATTTACTCAAAAATCTTTAGTCAATCAAGAACTATTAATTAATCAACCTTTTGTAATCAATTCCAGTGCTGCTACACTCAATGGATCTTCCGATTCCCAAATTATTTCTGAAAATGCCCAATCATCATTACCATCAACCAATAATATCAATGTAAGTATTAAAAGATTGAAATGTTCATGTAAAAAATATAAATTTATGCAAATCAGCATTTTATCAAGAATAGTTTTCCAGGAACTAATTATTCAACTAACAATAATGTTAAATGGTAGTAAAAAATCAAATATTTTAATATTATCAAGATCTAATTTATAAAAATTTTCAAAGTTAAGGGAATCTTCTACTCCAAATTTGAAAACTACAAGATTGCTCAATATGAAACCCGCCACTACCACAGGATTAAGATCATCATCATCTACATCAAAATCAAAATTGAAGTCATCATTTAAAAAAAATTCTAGAATACCATCATCACCATCCAATAATACTATTCTTCAATTTTTCACCAAATTAGATCCAAATTTATTTATCAGATGTGAAAAATGTTATCGACCAATATCCAATGATAAATTAGCTGAACATTTAGAGAATTGTAGTAATGAATCTAATAATAATTTAAGAAAAAGGAATAAGGATATTAGAAATTATTTTCAATTGGAAAATAAAAGTTAATGGTATACTTAAAATATATATATATATATATATTTATAATAAATTATTTTAATCTTGAAAAAAAAAAAGAGAATCTTTAAAATTTTAAACAAAAATAACTGAATTATGAAAAATGTGATCTAATTGACTAATTTTAATAAAGAAAATTCATAAAATTGTCATTATTCTTTATATGTTGATGGATGTTCTATTGGTCTGGAGGGTATTCGTGTAAGTTCTTTCATTATAAGGACATCAAGAAAGCAAGTACTGGTATACAGCTATATTTTTCTCTCAGTTTCGTGGAACCAGTAATCACAGTTTAATTTTTTCTTCCATGTTAATTCATTGGTACTTGAATGTTCTGGTAAACTATTTTCAGCATAATCTAAAATCACAGTAAAAGTATCAAGAGCAAGGTCTTGTATTAAACTAGCATAGCTCATAACATTGTCATGGGCTGAAACTTTACAATACTTTTGTGCTGTATAAGTAAATTTTTTATTTAATAAGATTTAAAAAAACATTTATTTATTTATATTCGATAATTGACTCGTCGCACTTTTAACACGTTTACAAAAGAAGAATCTTTTTCTACTCAAATATCTATTGGAAAAAAGCAAACCATTTTTTCCCTCTGAAAAATTGTTGGCTTATTGGGTTTTGACTGTAATATTAATTAGTATAATATTAATATTGATATTAGTATTAGTGTTGGTGTATTTTTATACGGATATCCAGATTTTGCAATCCAGCCAGATACAAACTCTAATTGCAAGTTTGTCTGCTTCTTGGTAGCTTAGATTTCCTTAGCTGGAACTGGAATAATAAATTCAGATAAGCAATTGTCTATTAAAGATATTTTTATATTGATTAAATAATGGTCTGTAGACGATTTCCTTTTTAGAAACAGTCAGTTAGTGAGTTTTGAAGGTTTTCGCAAATAAGAAAAAAATCAGCAAAATTTTCATATTAAAATATCAAATGGAAAAAAAATTTTTATTCCAAAATTAGAATTTTTTTTTATGCTTTTATATTATAATGTTAAAGAAGAAAACCACCAAGTATATCAGATTGTGCAAGTGCAAGAAGTAAGGGATCATCAAAAAACTGTAAATATTAAAATAATTTGCAATTAGCAACAAAAAAAAACAAGTGATTATTAAAATTAATTGATAAAATTAAAATTATCAAACCTTGTTGGCAGAAACATCTTCGGATAAACCTTTACGTCGTCTAGTTTTAACCATAAAATCTCTTGCTAAATGTTGAGCAGGACTAGGTTCTAATGGTTTAAGTACAATTGATTTATCTAATGGATCTCCAGGAACAATCTAATTTAATAATAATAAAATGTTATTAATAATGTTGACATTATTATTTATTTCAAATGTCATTTATTAAAATTAATTCATACCTGCCAATGATCAAACATTTGTTGACAAAATGCTTGACCTTGTGTATGAGTTCTCATATCAGTTTCAAAACCATTAGCTTCTATTACTGGAATGTAGGCTTTAACAGTGTACAATGGTGAACCCGGTTTAGGAATATCTTGTGTTACATGTCCTCTAGAAGGATTTTATTTATTGAAATAATTGAACAAGTCAAAATTATGTAGGATTAAATGATTCGTTGATTGATTTATTAAATACCTTCTTCTTGCTAGGACTGTGTATACAGCCGATACACAATCTGCTGGCGCTTGTATCTCAACATAGTAAACGGGTTCCATTAATCTTGGTGTTGCCTAAATAAAGAATAGTTTAAATTAATTAATCATTAATTAATCAATAAATCTATTATTAATCAAATATTAAATACCGTCAAGAAAGAAGAATAACAGACACGTCTTGCAGTAGGAATGATTTGGCCACCACCTCTATAAATAGGTTCTGGTGCAAGAACTGCATCCAATATTCTAAACTTTACGTTACGAATTGCTATTTATTGAAGAATTAGAACAAAGATGAAAATATGAGGATGTGATATGCATTAGTAGAGCGAGGAGTGAACATATATAACTGATAATTGATTGACTAACGTTCATCACATAATGGCCCTTCACGAGTTCCCCATTGAAACCCTTGTCTTACTGAATCCCTGATACTTTTTAATAAATTTTTATCCACCTATATATTATATATATATAATATCAATTGATTAGTTAACTGTCCACATTAAAAAAAAATCAAATTATTAATTATTTATATATACCTCTGAAGGTAAAGTATCATCGACCAAAATATTGGGACCATTTTCATCAGGTCCAAAAGCCCATATAGAACGAGCAGCCAGTACATCCCATGAATATTTTTCTTCAAAATATTTTGCAATATCTTTGATTGGCCATTTTATACTAACTTTACCAGACTCGATATCTTCTGCTATACCTTTCTCTAACGGCTCTGCTATCATTGTTAATTTGTTCCTGTAAACAAAAAGGTTCATATTATATCACATGTGTAAAATCAACAAATCAACAATTAATTTATTTACTTTTTATTTGGGGTTTCTGCAAAACATTTCAAAGCAGAGGTATCAACCACTGTTTCACAGAATCGAACCACCGGATCAGAAACTTTAAGTTCGATTTCAGCATACATTCTACGAAGATCATGAAGGACACAATCCAGATATAATTCTCCTGTACCAAGTATTATATGTTCTCCAGATTCTTCAACCTATATATATTTAAAAAATTGGATGGAGAAAAAAATACAATAATAAGAAAACTAAGTATATAAATAAATATAAATATAAATATAAATATAAATGGTTACTTTTGTGATTAGAATAGGATAACTTTTATTTATTTTTCTTAAACCATCCAACATTTTGGGTAGTTCTGAGGGATTGACAGGCTCAACAGCCACTTTAAGTACAGCAGTAGTGATAAAAGACAATGGTCTAAAAATATATAAATCCTCATCGATATTCTTTTCAGTTATTGTTGCTGTCTTTACTATTGAATTGTCAACACCACCCAATAGTACCCAACTTCCTGCTGGCATTCCACCAACTTCAATTCTATATCTAGATTCGAATATCCAGACATTAGTGACATCCTGTATGGTCATATCTTCCTCATCTTCTGTTGAGTAACCCTCACCAAGAACTCTTACAGATTGACCTTTTCTAATTGTACCACTCATGATACGACCGAATGCATCAAATGTTGAAGCATCGGCTGAATTATACAATTTGGTAATGTATATCATCAATGGACCACCCGAATCACAATTACGCATTGACTCTACCACCGTTGAATCCATTGTTCCTGTGTAAATATGTTCAACCTAATTATTTTTTTCAAAGAAAAAAGTATTTATTATTATTATCAATAAAATTGTAATTATTATTATAATAAATAAAAAACATTAAAAATTAAATACTTTTTTGGCAGCGTTATCTTTTGGGGATGGAATGTGTTCAATTACCATATCCACAAAACCAATTGGAGGACCAAAAAATTGATCTAATATTATTCTAAGCAATGGTTTGACATCCAATTGAAAATGTGATGCTTTTAAGCAAATACCCAAAGATGCTAATGTACGTTTCAATGTATTTTCATCTTCCCCAATAACCTAATGTAATATTTATGTAATGTATATAGGTATATGTGAATATATATGAATATAATAAACTAATAAGTTTATATAACAAATAAAACCGTTACCTGAGCATATAATTTGAATAAAGGTTCTAAGATGAAATGAACAAAAGAGCGTTGACTATCTCTTTCAAGACTTTTTCTACTAAAAGATTTTTTTATAGGATTATAATAAATATCACCCCATAAACGTTTTGCAAACTCGTCAGGGTCTATATCGCCTAATAAAATCAGTTATTAAATTAATCAATCAATCAATCAATCATTATTATTGATATAATTATAATTGTAAAGTTATGCTTTTACCATAAGCATCGGAATAAAGTTTTGCAAAAGATCTTAAGGAAAAACACCATCCCATCTGACTAGAAGCAAAACATACATTTCCACGTTCAGGTGACACACGAATATCTTGACCTGGGGCGTATTGGCTAATGCAGGCATAAATTGCAAGAAAGAATGGAAAGAGGAAGAGAAAAAGGAATAAGAGAGAAATTAATTAATTAGTTTTTGTTTATTCATTATAAAAATAAACGTAATTCCAACCTAATCACTGTATTAACTTCTTCGATTGTATGTTTAAGTTTAAAGTAAGCATCATTGGGAGGCAGTCTCAATTCCAATATTAATCTATCGACTTTATTAACCACTAATGTGAATGACAATTTTTCTTGTATAATATGCTTTATTATACGCTCTGTGTTAGCCATGACCTATGTAATATATATGAGAGATATAAATACACATTAATTATAAATAATGCGCTAGTATTCTATAAATCATCAACTAAACCAACTAATTGACTAACTAACCCCTTCGATGGCATCAACAATTAGAATAGCACCATCAGCCAATCTAAGTGCAGCTGTAGCCTCGTCCACAAAATCAGCATGTCCTATTATAATTTATAATAATCGTAATTATAATTATTAAAATTTAAAATAATATTCAAATTCGCAATCATAGTCATAATATCCATCTTTACCTGGAGCATCTAGAATATTGAATAGATAAGATTTTCCTTTAGTATTTTGCAAAACAAGAGTCATTGGCATGCTTTTTATACTAACACCACGATCTCTTTCTAATATATGTGTATCAGTGTAACGTTCCTATATTTATTTTTATTATTATAATTATTATTATTACTACTATTTTTATCTCCAAGTAAAATAAATATAGGCAAGCAATAATGTTAATAATAATAATGCTATTTAACCTGTTTATCAACATCCCAAGCTACAGAAGTATGTGTTTCATATATCAACATATCAACAAATGATGTTTTTCCATGATGTACATGACCCACAATAGCAATATTTCTCACTAATTCAGGAAAATTCATCATATCCACTAAAAATCTATAAAAAATATTATTATTATTATTATTATTATATTGAATAGATATTAATTATTTAAATACAAATAAATTCTTATCATGTAGTAATATTACTCTTTTTTAAATTTAGTTTCAGGTAAATCTTTTTCTTGAATTTGAAATTTTTTTATTTTTATAGGTTGAATTATTGGTTCAGATAGAGGCTGAGTGTCTTCTTCTTGAACCAAAGTTTCAACTTCAAGACCATAAACTTCTTCAGCACTTGGATAATATTTCTTGTCTTCATGAAGCACAACCTGATTTGAAGGAATATCTGAAACAATTTAATTCCCCAGCTAACATCAGTTGGATATATATAAATAGTAGAAATTTTTGAAAGATCAGGATTTGAAAGAACGCACATACACATACACATGTATATGCGCGTGGATGTGTCGTATAATAAACATTATAAAGATTTTGAAAATAATAATGGGTCTTATAATGATGATAATAATGAAATTGTGAATGAATTCAATTCATCAGATAATTGCTAAAAAAATGAGAGAGGATAAATAGTAAACGTATATTTACCTTCTATTTCCATTAGAGCCATGCCGGAAGTCACCTCAGTCTCTTCATATTCTTCTTGATCCTCAATTTCTTGCATTGGTTGAACAACTTGTTCTTCTTCCTCATCGGTATCAGGTAATTCTGGCCCAAGATAATTACCAAATTCATCATAAAGTGAATCATCCATTATTTGATATTGCTATTGTTGGATTTTGTTGATACGATATTTTAGAAGAAATGTAGTATAATTTATAATAGTGTGAAGATGAAGAAATTCAAAAATTTTTTTTGTTTACAAATTGATTGATTTTCAAAATTTTTTACCTTGATTGTTTTTCATCGAAATGGAAATTAATGTGACAACAACAATAGTAGCTATATTGAGTATAAATATATTGATAGCATTGGGAGGGATGACGTTAAATAATTTATAAATTAAAAAGGTTACTGGATCCTTTGAAGGTATGGAGAAGTTTGAATTGTCCAATTGTCCATAAATTAGACCATTTTTGTATTCATACTTGATAAGTTTTGTTAGCCTATACTCGGAAAGTTTCATGCATTATTTTAAAGAAAAAGCAAATCGGAGTAAAGGTGGAGGTGAGAACAATATTTTTTTAAAATGATTTATATTGCATGTTTTATGTATTATTGTAAAGACATGGGGGTTGCAACTTTGGATAAAGGGTCTGTTCAGGAGTATTAAAGATTAATTGTGGAATAATAACAAATAATAATAATCAATTTATTAATTAATTATTAATATTGCCTTGTTGGTTTTTAATCTATAGGAACAAAGAAAAGTACATAACCCATTTAATAGTATGCCATGCAGAAACAGTCAGAGGATTAACATTTAATGAAAACATGAAGGAATTATTACAAAAATTAGTATTGATGTGAGTTGAGTGAGTTCTTGTTGTTATTAGTATTGATTAATTGTAGGAAATAATAAATTAATATATTAGTATCAAAGAAAAGCAAGAGATAATTTGTTATTATTATTGTGATATTATGATGTCATAAAACCTTTTCATAGCATTAAATGATTGAAATGTAGGAATTTACAATAGGTGAGCAGGAAGTGGAAGCTATCATTAATATTAAAGATGAGAGATTAGACACTGTTGCTAAAGCAAATGTTACATGGCAAATAAATAATACATAAAAATTAAGAAATTTATTATTTAATTATTAAATCAGGTTTGAAAATATAACAATAATAATAATAATAAATAATTATAATCATTATAATAATATTTAAACAAACAATCAATAGAAATATGAAGGCATAAAATTGAGTTTTAAATTTTAAAAATATTATTATTATTACTAAGATTATTATTAAGGATATTATTTTATTACCATTAACATAATATTATAGTAATAATAATAATAAGTACTCACAAATAATTGGTGACAAACACAATGTTAAAGAAAATAAATAAGATTATCATAGTAAATATATAAAATCGTTTTCCCACCCTTGTATAATTACAAAGAAACTTACTATGATATAAAATGTAATGGCCATTGTCATAGTTTACTTTTTCATCATTATTATAATCATCATCATTGATGTCATCATCATATTTCTCAATATTATCATGCAAAACTTGACTTGGATGACCAATGTAATCTTTCAGATCTTCAAGAAAATCTTTAGTTGATTAATTATTAAATAGAAGGTGCAAATTCAGGTTCTGGGAATGACAAAGGTGGATGAAAAGCTTTTGTTGATGACAATCTTGAGTGAATCAACAATAATGGAATTATCATTATAATCATAATTATGTTGATAGTCATAATGAGTGCTTCCACCCAGAACACTCCATGGCTTGTTGCTTGCGCACAAATATAAGTAACTTCTATCATCATCATCCAACAAATTATCATAATTAGAAATAAAACTCCAAGATACTTGATTTTGATGGTACAATTACTATTCTGAATAGGGCTCTAATGATTCGAATTACCTAGCTTTTGATTCAAACTAATCCGAGCTTATAAATGATTTTATTTGACTTGGTTCTAATCTAATTCAAATATATAATCATATGAAATAGATTGAGTTTAAAAGAGTTGTCTTTGGAAATAAATGGTTTCGAAAGTCAAAAAAAAACACACACTCCACTTCCTGTTCTTCTTTGAACCATATCGCATTGTGCCTGTTGAAGAGGTATCATCTTCAACAAACGTTAAAAGAAATTTAGGAATCCGGTTTTATTCAAATTGAATTGAATCGAGCCACGAATCGAACCAAGTCGGATTGAGCCCAGTTTTTTGGAATTTGATTCGTTCAGTGCCTTGGCTCTGAAGGAGTGAAGAAAACGAGAATGAGAAATTTGCAAGTTGTAAAATTATAAATTGTGAGAAAAAAATCAAGTTGGAAAAATAAAAAGCGAGTCAACGTATTTTTTACCTTGGGACAATAATAGTAATATTGTTCGTTTATTGTTTTTCTTTATTAATATTAACTGACTACTGTTTAAAATTTTTTTTTATTATTGTCATTGATTATTTTTGAATAAGTGCAGACCATTTTTTCAATTTGAATTGAATATGGTCCAAATTCAATGTTTATAATAATTCTTGAACAATGCTTTAATGCCAGAAATTCTTGATACCACGATCAAGAACAAAGGTATTTTATTGGTTGCACGTGACACTAATAAACGAGATTTTTTTTTTACAACGTTGTTAGTTTTGCAATCCATCAATACTCATGGCCTAGAAATTTTTAATTGAGAATAATTCAAATCAAGTGTCTGTAGTTTTTCTAATCAGGGCGCAACGTACAGGAAACATACTTTCGTCAACGTTCAATGTTATGTCAAATCACTGAATTTTATGAACAGTCAGAGCAAATGCATTCTGAAAAGGAAATTGTTTTCTCTGCCGTAAATTTCAAAATTAAGATGTTTCTTTCTTCCGCCGATCGTTCCTTCGGTGAAAGTTACGTTTTTAATAATAATAAAACAAGAACAGAACACGTTATCACGATTATTATTATTATTATTATTATTATTATTATTATTATTATTATTATTATATATATACCATTTTACCACGATTTATATGTGAATTTAACGTTGTCAAATGATAATCAATTGAATTTGGGTATTTTCGAATTATTACGTTTTTTAGTAGTATTAATGGTGGGAGAAGTTCAAAGAAGGCATAATATTAAAATCAACACCGGATTGTTCCGTTTTTTTAGTGGCAGGGAAAGTATTTTCCTTACATTTTCCAAAAAAAAAAAAAGCATTGTTATTTAAACATTGACATAACAAATAAGCATCTTCTTTACATTTTTTGATTGATTTCCTTTTTGACAATAATGAATTAATTCCGAATTGTTTAGTGGCGGGGAAAGTATTTTTGAAAAGGGCTTGATTTAGTTAAATGAATTACAACTGATGATGAAAAAACGATCAATGATCAGTTTTTTTATTTATTTATTCCTTTTCTTTTCGAAAATTTCCAGAGAGATAATAGTACTATCATCAAATATTGCCAATCCTTTCTAAATTCTTACAAAGTATGTTGCACTGATTTTAAATAATTATTTTTTATTATTATTAATTGTATATATAAAAAAAATGTTTACAGGTATTGTAGAACATATAGGAGAAATACTTGAAATTTTAGCTTTAGATAATTCAATTAGTGGTGGAGGTGGTTGGTCAATGAAAATCGGTAAAGCTGGACCTGTTTTAGTTGATTGTAAGAATGGTGATAGTATTTCTGTCAATGGTTTGTGTGATTTTATAATCATAATTTGTGAATGATAGATTAATTGATCAATTTGGGTTTTTATTATTATTGTTAATTATTATTTTAAATTTTCTCTTGTAGGGACTTGTCTGACCGTGACAGAGTTTGATATTTCAGCTTCATGGTTTAAAGTTGGACTTTCACCTGAAACTCTTAGAAGAACAAATCTTGGAGAGTTGAAAGTTGGTGACAAAGTAAATTTAGAAAGAGCTTTATCATTTAATGATAAATTTGGTGGGCATTTTGTACAAGTAAGTCTAACCAATCAACCAATTAAATAATAATAATATTTTACAATGATAACAATATTAATAAAAAAATAAATTCTAAAAAAAAAAAAAAGGGACATGTTGATACAACAGCAGAAATAATTTCCATTGAACCAGAAAATAATTCATTATGGTATAAATTGAAATTGATAGATCCATCACATATAAAATATGTTATACCAAAAGGTTATATTTGCGTTGATGGTACTTCGCTGACAGTATGTGAAGTAAATAATCAAGAAAATTGGTTTAGTGTAATGTTGGTTGCTTATACTCAAGAAAATGTTATCATGCCAACTAAAAAAATTGGTGATAAAGTGAATCTTGAAGTGGATATGTTGGGAAAATATGTTGAAAAATTAATTGAATCAAAATTATTCAGTAGCATTAATAGTAGCAGTAGTAATGAAAATGGTGAAAATTATATTGAAAGAATTGTAAAAAAATATTTGGACGAAAAATTTAAATAATCAAATGAAAATATAACATGACGCAAATACCACAATAAAATCAAATGTTTGCATTATATACGTACGTACCTGGAAATTTACCTTCTGATTTCTCTTTAATTTTAAGGTTATGATTTTTTATGATTTGTTGATTTAATCGCACCCCAAAATTTTTATAATGATAAAAAGAAAAACTTTGAATAATGGGTTGTTTAACGGATTTTTGTTGTACATGACTACACATCAACTGTCCTGTGCTTGATTAAATGGCTTGTACGGTTTTTATCTTACGATCTTACATGATCCGTGTGATCGTGACGTTTTATTAATTCTTTCCCAACTATTTATTTGCCAATCAACAATCAATCAGATTATGTGTGAAAAAAAAAATGTGTGGTCATGAAAACAAGTTTTCTTATTAGCAAACATAATAGCACATAATAACATAAATGACACGTTCAATATCTCTCATTCCATCTTTCACGGCAAGCCTGCCCACAATTAAAGAAATTTTGTCTTTCGTAATATATTGTGATACATCATAATTAAAAACGTTGATTCAGACCAATAGTGAATTTTTCGTTATTTATGAATGATATTGAAATGAACAAAGGATGCCTTTTGTTTTTTTACCTTATAAAAGTTTTCTTGATAATAACAGGGGAAGGAACTCACACACACAAACACGCACACACATATCATTTTCGTTAGTAATTTGAATTAGCAAAGAACAGATAATTTAACATTCTCGAAAATAGAAAATTCCTTCCACAAAAATCAAGTTTAATTTTTTTCGACATCAACATGCCATGTTTCCACTCGGCACGATCACATCATGGTCAATAGTAATAGAGACTATATGATACAATTAATCCTGATTGAATGTTGCACCGGATTGATTTTTGTCATTTTCTTATTATGTTAATGATTATTATTGTTACTATTACTATAATGTTATTCATTGTTAATTAATATAATTATTGTTGAATAATCTAGATTATTTTTTTGTTTTTGTTTTTCGAATTTGGATATCTCCATTTGAATCAGTATAAAAATTAGTATTAGCGACAAAGACATCAGATTATGTAGAAAGACTATATACCATTTTCCCATTTTTAATAATAATTATTGTTAACATCGAAGGAAATATTTTTTATAAATAATTGTAACTCTAAATCAAGTAAATTTAACTTTTACCAATCACTACTTTCTCTCCAACATTCGCTCATTCGTTCACTCGACAAACATTAAGCCATGAAATTTATCTCTACAACTTTTGTGACTTTTTTACTTTGTACTATTATTTTCGTTGATTCATTGGTTGAATCAACGCCAATCGATAGTAATAACGTGTAAATTTAAATTGTTTTATAAATTATTTTATAACTTACATATACATACACTATATACATATTAAGATATATATATATGTATATATATATATTTTCTGTAGAGCAAAACCAGAAATCAAACATTCTGGTAATCGAAGAATATAGCCGTTGCAACCACTAGTTAATTTGAATAATAGGAGTAGTTGGAGGCAAAATAATTTATCACTTATTAATAGCCAATGAATGATATAAAATAATAATAATAATATAAATAAAAGTTACAAACGCATCTGATAATGCATTCGATATGCGTGAAATGCTTTATAAATTACAAGGCACTAGGGAAAATCTAATATTGGAATTTATTTCATCCTAGTGGTGGACTAATTTCCTTGTTCGACAGACAGATTTAACTTTCTCTTGCAAGTTAGTTATCTTATTTTGTAAAACTTCTTTTTTAATCAGAGGACATGATAATCATTTCTACAACTTTTCCCAATAATTTTGAGCTATATATAACATGTTTGCGACAATACAGATGTTCATATTGTAGACATAGCCTTGAATGCATGCATTGTCGATGTCCATTTTGTGGATTGACTACGTTTTTTATTCTTTTATGGCCAGGTACATATTCTTTGATGTGAGAAGATTCATTTTTGGTGGGAATGGTTAGTGTCGTCTCAATTGTAATGAATGACCAATTATTTTGTTAAATTTCTCTAGCCAGTATCTTTTCGATATTAGGAGTGTGTCGAATAAGTGTTGTTCTGTATATATACATTGACTTGTGTTGATGGTTTGCGTGCGCGTGTAGGTTCTTGAGAAAGTTGGTAAAGTGGAATGAGAATGAGAAACCCGAGGCTTTATTATTATAGTGTAGCCGCACTTGAATGAAACACATGATGGGTTGATATGCTCGACAGTATCATGTACTTTGTCATTACATTGATAATTCTATGAAATCGCACAAGCCTAGTTTATTTATCCAGTCGCAGAGTATGTTGGATCTGCCCTAGAAAGACCAGCTCAAGGACCAGTCTTCTTGGCCCCTGGTCCTCGAAAAATGAAATGGTGTAAATATGTAAATAATGATAGTATTCATTTAAAAATTCAAATACTTGAATATTTTGTATGATGTACTAAAATTTAGAAAGTTATTATTATCGTCACCTTATATAAAAACAACAATAATAAAGTTTGAATTATTTGCATTTTCGTTATATTACTATTAACCAATTATCATCAAATATCAGAAAATGAAACAACTTTAAATACAAATGCTTATTTTTGTCACAAATTATTACTAAAGAATTTTGGTAGTCTTTTTTTTTTAACTGATCGTTCTTTCCTAAAAAATCTAAATTTTCATTATTTTTCCATCCGTAAAAACTTTTTTTTTGGGGAAAATTGTCTTTGATTAACTATTCTCATGGTCGCAATTATTTACTTTTTAACAACCAAACCATGCCCATTGAACCTGAGACTACAACTATCGACACTTTCTCTATTAATGTTCAAAATGAATTAGCATGTTATTTGAGCACTCTACTAGAAGATGAAACTGAACCTCTTGATTGGTGTTATGCACAAAGAAAAGAATATCCTATTCTTAGTCTCATTGCTCATGACTATTTAACAGTACAAGCAACAAGTGCAGCCTCAGAGAAATCTTTTTCAACTGCCAGATGAACAATCAGAAGTCAAAGAAATTGATGGGATCCTGATACAGCTCATACAAGCTTGTTTTTAAACCAAAAAAAACTCACATCCCTCTCCAAAATACTGGTCCAGGACTGGTCTTTTTGACTGGTTCAAGGACCACATTAAGAACCGGTCCCACAATCCCCCAAAAAAGACCAGTCATTTGGGATTAAGTCCAGACCGAACTGGACCAAACCAACTCTAGTTGCAGAGATGTTTTTCCTAATATTGATGAACATCAACATCATCATCATTGTTTATATTAATTTTACACAAAAATCAATAGCATATTTTATAAACTTTTTTATACCCTGAACTACTATTCCGAAATTATGTAATGAGCTGTCCTTATTTCTCACAAATCACATCCAATGTTTTAAACTCAGACAGGGCATAAAACCATTACTCCCTGGGTCCCCAAGACTTATTTATATGAGGACCGGGAAAACTCTATAGTATGTGACCGCCAAATTAAATGGCAAATCATATTAATGCGAATCTTAGTTTTTTATAATTATGCGAATCAATTTTCCGAACACATTTAAAAAATTATTAATAATGCGAATCGAAATCAGCCAAGGACATATGAAATTTATCTTTATTAATTAAAGGAAGTTTTGTGTACTTGACATACTAAAATGATTATAAATTAAAAATGTTTCATCATCTACTGCAATCAAACAAGGATTAATGTCATTAATATTAGAGTAAGAACGTATTCCCAAAAAATAAACTACTTCTCGTGGTGTAATATGAATTGTAATGTCTCCTCCTGCAAAATTTTCACATGAAAAATACCGTTGTGATACTGGAAGATAAACTTTAATAGAAATATATGATAAATGATCTAAAATCCTGCTGGCTTTTCTACCCATGCATGTTGTTACTTTTTGTAAAGAATGCTTTGACACTAGGTTGATTATTTATTAAAAAATTACAATTATTACTCTCGGAATGTCTTTTAAAGTTTGCAACTTGATAATTGATTCCAAGTGAAATAATTTGACCACATTTGCAAATAACTTTTTTAGCATTGACAAATTCTTGAAAGTTAGGGTATGTAGTAAAATGTCGTTGGCGTGAATCATAAGGAATTCTTTTACTATTTTTAGTTTGAATTTTCCATTAATCGAATCTATAGTGAGGCGGTCACATTTTTTTTTTAAAGTACTTTCGAATCATAGTGTTGGCGGTCACATTCAATAGAGTTTTCCCGGTCCTATTTTATGTCTCTGACTGTGCCAATAAGGTCCTGTTATATTACACAAAAAGATTAATATAATTTTTCCCATTCAAAAAAGTTTTTGCGTAAATAAATTAAAAATGGTTATTATTATTTTTTTTTTTTGTGTAAGAAAAAAATTGACTCCCAGTTATTATGAAAACAATAAACACATATCACCTGATGAACACAATCACGTGATTTACAACGTAATTTTGTATGTATGGTTACACAATTGTTTAAATAAATGTACAAAAAACCCGCATCTCTTCTCTTCATTCCCCATTCCCCATTTTCTCTTTTTCTTTCCTTTTCTGAAATAAATTATTTTCTTCCTAATTTTCATTTTCTCTTTTCTGTTTTGATTAAATAAATTATTTTCTTATTATTTATCCGGAGATAGTTGTTGCTTCTATATACGCGTATGTTAATATAACAAAAATAAAAAACACAATGAGCTACCAAAATAATGTTACTTCTAACGAACAATCGAGTGTTCATAGCATTCCTAGCGAGACTTATTCTGGTCATTATCATGTTCACCAAAACATTATCAATAATAATAATAATAATAGTAATATACCTGAACCGGATCCAAATGGTAATAATTTGGATAGACATGACAAAAGATTGTTTTTTATGGCTGTTGTTGAAATTTTAACGGTGTCAACAATCACGGCAGCAACAACCACGGAAGCAAAAGCAATCATGATAATGATAGTTAATTTAGTAGCTATTTGCTTATTATTTTTATTATTTATAATTATAAAAAAAAAACAAAGCAATTAAATTAATTTTGACTCATATTCTTCTTTTTTCTTTATTATTATTTCCATAATTTTTTTTGTTTGAACATAATTTTTAAAATCAAATACAAAAAAACTATATAATATTAATATTAATATTATATACGATTCGGTTGTACAATCTCTTTTCAATGTTTCTTTTTAAGTAAATATTATTTTTTTTTTTAAATGGAAAATATTCTTTCTTTTATAATTTCATCTCGTTAGAACTAGATTATTTAATAATTTTAAAAAAATATTTATGCCCTTAATAATGTAATTTTAATTTATGATTCATAATAAAGTTTTTTCAAAAAAAAAAAATAAAAAAAAATACAATCATATAGTTCCTAGTAATTTATTTCGTCCACTAGTTTAGATAAAAAATCTACGCATTCTGATAGTAATTCATTTAAAATAAGGCAACGCAACATCATCTAATTTTTTTTTTACTATAATAAAATCAAATAGTAATAGTAAATCTTAATTTTAGTCAAGGTTCGCAACAAATCTTATATTTTTAATGTTAAAGGTAGTATATACAAAAATACAGGAGACTTGCTCTTTTCTCAGTGACAAATATTTTTGGGAACGTCGCAAATGAGCATTCTTTCCCCTCTTATTTTAAGTTTTATTTCATTTCAACGCTAGCTTCCGAATTAATAATCAGAGTTTGTGGCTAGAGAAATATTTGTTTACGAAGTTTTTGAGATTCTTTTTAGTAAATTCATTTGTTTATTTTGAAAATTTTTCTTTAAATGAAGACAAAAAACTATAAACGAAAATAAAGAATTTCTATTTATGTGGAAGGTAACGAATATAGATGGCGAATATTCAGATGAAAAGAATCAAGTGAAAGGGGAATCTCAGAATTGCAATAGATTTAATACCGACTTTTTATCTGCCAATTATGTGATACACCGAAGATGAACTAGTGGCAATGAAACAATAGACAAGTTGATTAAAGATACCCGACTTAAAAGCAACAGATTATCAACTAAAATTATCTTGATGGACTCCTTATGAAAATTTAAAAAAATATTGAATAGATATTAATCATATATGCTTGATTTTTTCTTAATTCATCGAGTACAAATCTAAATTTACCAAATATTTAGCTTACGTGTAACGTGACACGGCACATTTGATAATGAATCATTAATCAATAATTAATCTTGTTATCATGTTGGTTTTTTATTCTTTTCTATAACCTTCCGGTTTATTATTCTATTATAATAGCATGAATTTGTTAGATTAATAGCTCAAATCAACAATTCAACAAAAGATATGATATAATTTGTTCATTATTATCTTCTTTCAAAAAAAAAATTGTTATATAAAAAAATAAAATAACATTTGCATAAGATTTTTTTTCCATAAAGGGTTGAAAGACAAATTTTATTCATATAATAATAATATGAATAATAAATTCATTGTAACAATTTTATTTTATTCTGTGTAGAGAATAATGTTACAACATAATATGAATTTATTGTTTACACGTTAATTTATTTCATATCTCTGTTGTATGTGGAAATGAAATTATGTTAATTTTTTCTATGGTCCCAAAACCAGATAATGCTAACAATTCTCAATTAACTTGTTTCGTTTTTACTTTTTGTTTTTCATGACTAAGTTCCTTCAGTGATAATTTTTTTTTCTTTTGGAAATTTCATAGGCAATCCTTTCTTTTCTTAGATGAGCTTCGAGTGTCTGAGTATCATTTACTTTGAAAATGTAAGGAGCAATTTTTTCACCTTGTTCCTTCTTCAAAATACCTCTAATACTAATGGTGCTATAATTCTTGGGTTCCATAGTAGATCTGATGTAAATTAACTTCATATTAACTTTTTTATATAGGGAAAATTCTATATATCACTTAAGGTAACAAATTGGACTGTTAAATTATAATTACAATGCAATTGTGATAATAATGACTAAATTTTGATCCCTGAAATTCTTGATAATACCAATGTTCACTTTGTCTGGTTTTGTTGCAGTCTGCCCCATATATAAAAAATTAATTTAATATGACAAGCCCATCCGTAATTGATTAATTAACATTTTAATTATTATTATATAATTTATTAATTAATCACCATTCACTAGTACTAGGGCTTCTATTCAAACAAGGTTTATTCGAATTATTCACTTTATTCGTTATTATTATGAATTTGAGTATTCGAATTACATTGAAAGTTTATTCAAATAAATTTTTATTCAAGTAAACGAATAATTCGAATAAGAAAGTTGATTTGAATAATAATAAGGAAATTAATTCAAATAAAATGAATAATTCGAATAAGAAAATTGATTCGAATAAAAAAATTAAAAATTGATTTGAATAAGAAAAAATTCGAATAAGGAAATTAATTCGAATAAGGAAATTAACTTTTGAATAAAGCAAATAATTCGAAAAAAATTAATTCGGATAAAACAAATAATTAAGGTCCAGTTTAAAATTCAAGCTCACTGGAATCTTGTTTCAGTCTTTCCTTATTAGTTTCATTTTTAATTTCAAGTTTTATAATAATAAAATCAATATTAAACCTTGTTGTATATATAGTTTGAATATTTAAGTAATTGAACAACCCATGATTCCAAATAATCTAATAAAATGAATGAACAAACCCAAGATTCCAATAATGAATAAAACAAATAAAACAAATAAAACAAATAATTTGAACAAAACAAATCATTCGAACAAACTTTTTAATTTGAATTAAAGATCAACTGTATTAGTATTACGAATAGAAGCCCTAACCATTACTATATTTTAAAAGAAATGATTTATGAAATTCTTCTAATTTCTTACAAAATCCATCAAACAATTCTTCTGGTGGAAGAAAAGTACTACGAAAATGCCAAGTGCCCTCTTTTTGTCTAAAACCGTTGCCAGGTACTACTATACAGACACCTGTTTCCTCAAGCATATCAAAACATTAAAATTCATCAGGTTGTCTACCCAATTATTTTGCCAT